ATTAGATATAGTAGGGGTGTGGTGTATCAGATATAGTAGGGGTGTGGTTGTCGTGGTGTATTAGATATAGTGGGGGTGTGGTTAGTGTGGTGTATTAGATATAAGGGGTGTGGTGTATCCGATATAGTGGGGTGTGGTTGGTGGTATGGTGTATTAGATAAAGTAAGGGTGTGGTTAGTGTGGTGTATTAGATATAGTGAGGTGTGGTTGGTGTGGTGTATTAGATATAGGGGGTGTGGTTGGTGTGATGTATTAGATATAGTAGGGGTGTGGTTGGTTTGGTGTATCCGATATAGTAGAGAGTGGTTGGTGTGGTGTATTAGATATAGTGGGGTGTGGTTAGTGTAAAAGTAAAATTTCCCCTTCAAACCTGACGGTCTATGTGGCAAGTGAAGTAGAGTTCACCTGTTTCTGTGACCTTGGCATATGAAGAGATAGTGTGGTCAGCACTATGCCCCGCCGCCTTTCCCTAACAGGAATTAGGTACCCATCAGAGATATATTAGATATAGTGGGGTGTGGTTGATGTGGTTGGTAAATATAGTGGGGGTGTGGTTTGTGTGGTGTACCAGATATAGTAGGGGTGTGGTTGGTGTGGTGTATTAGATATAGTAGGGGTGTGGTTTGTGTATCAGATATAGTAGGGGTGTGGTTGTCGTGGTGTATTAGATATAGTAGGGGTGTGGTTGGTGTGGTGTATTAGATATAGAAGGGGTGTGGTTTGTGTATCAGATATAGTAGGGGTGTGGTTGTCGTGGTGTATTAGATATAGTAGGGGTGTGTTTGGTGTGGTGTATTAGATATAGTAGGGGTGTGGTGTATTAGATATAGTAGGGGTGTGTTTGGTGTGGTGTATTAGATATAGTAGGGGTGTGGTGTATTAGATATAGTAGGGGTGTGTTTGGTGTGGTGTATTAGATATAGTAGGGGTGTGGTGTATTAGATATAGTAGGGGTGTGTTTATTGTGGTGTATTAGATATAGTAGGGATGTGGTTGGTGTGGTGTATTAGATATAGTAAGGGTGTGGTTGGTGTGGTGTATCAGATATAGTGGGGTGTGGTTTGTGTGGTGTATTAGATAAAGTGGGTGTAGTAGGTGTGGTGTATCCGATATAGTGGGGTGTGGTTGGTGTGGTGTATAAGATATAGTAGGGGTGTGGTTAGTGTGGTGTATTAGATACAGTGGGGTGTGTTTGGTGTGGTGTATTTGATATAGTAGGGGTGTGTTTGGTGTGGTGTATTAGATATAGTAGGGGTGTGGTGTATCCGATATAGTGGGGTGTGGTTGGTATGGTGTATAAGATATAGTAGGGGTGTGGATTGTGTGGTATATTAGATATAGTGGGGTGTGGTTGGTGTGGTGTATAAGATATAGTAGGGGTGTGTTTGGTGTGGTGTATTAGATATAGTAGGGGTGTGGTTGGTGTGGTTAGTGTGGTATATTAGATATAGTAGGGGTGTGGTTAGTGTGGTGTATTAGATATAGTGGGGTGTGGTTGGTGTGGTTAGTGTGGTGTATTAGATATAGTAGGGGTGTGGTGCATTAGATATAGTAGGGGTGTGGTTGGTGTGGTGTATTAGATATAGTAGGGGTGTGGTTGGTGTGGTGTATCAGATATAGTGGGGGTGTGGCTAATGTGGTGTATTAGATATAGTAGAGGTGTGGTAGGTGTGGTGTTTAGAAGAATAGAATAGAAACCGAAATTTTGACAAATTTCAACGTTTTCCCCGAGTCGAAAAAATTGAGATTTGCAGCTTAATCCTTATGCGGGTGTCTCTGTCAAATTGGTAGTTATCTATCAACTTGTGTGCAATTTCCGGTAACCTGAGGTGGTACATATTCTATTCCGGTTTTTCAAAAAACAATAACTTGAGTAATGTTTAAGTTAGAAGGGCAAAATTTTATTTATACGTATTATATGTAGTATTCGCAGGTTTGTATGATTTTTTTTCCCGATAATCGGAAGTGCTACTTTACTCTTTTTCCGCGGGAACTTTAGTAGTAAACGAAATAGATATAAAAGTATAAGATCTTATACTTGGATTGCTTTCAATTTTTGAGTGTCCTCGGGTATATATAAGTGGTACTTTGCTCAATTTCGGTTTTTGAAATATCAAACCGCTTCAAGTAGGTGGACGAAACTTCATAAGATCTAATTCACACGTTTGTGTCAAATTTTGAGAGATTTCTGGTGAACGGAAGTATTACTTTACGCTGTATACGATTTCCTAAAAAAGAAAACAATAGGAATTTATCTTGATTGCTCTGTCTATCGTCCATCATGGGCGAGCAAATTTTCAGTCATGTATACCGGACCCATTTCATTCAAACTTTTCACGTAGGTCAAGACGCGATGACATTGCATTTTGACATAAAATGTGGCTTAATTAGATGTAATTAACCTTTGTAAAGTTGAATCATTACTCGCTTTATTATAAAATTCTCGTTTGCGCTCTTTTTCCACACGATTTTATTTAAATGAAAAAAAAAACACAAGAAAGTTTTGGGGAGATGACTCCTGCGTGATTTGGTATAGTTTTATAGCAGCGTTCTATGGGAGATAACAAAGTAATAATTTAAAAAATGCTTATGTAGTAGTAATCCCCCCTTGTTGTAGCTTAGGTCTACTAGTGGTTTTTACTTTCTCGTGTATTCGAAGTATAGAGAAAGTCTCGTACTCGTGCAAAAAAAAAAAAAAAAAAATCTCGACATTTTACACCTCCCTGAGTTGGAAAAACATAGTTTTGCAATCTTGTCCGTATGTCTGTGTGTATGTGTATGTATGTGTTTGTGTGTGTGTGTGTGTGTGTGTGTGTGTGTGTGTGTAAACACGATAACTTGAGTACCGTTACAGCTAGGGTGATGAAATTTCAAATATAAGTATTATATCATAATCGTAGATCCGTATCAACTTTTGAGCAATTTCCGGTAACGGGAAGTGGAACTTTTTCAACTTTCAATTTTTCAAAAGCCTATCACTTGAGTACTATTTCAGATAGATAACTGAAAATTGATATGTAAGTAAAAGATCTAAATTTATGCCTTCTGTCAAGTTTTGAGTAATTTCCGTTTACCGGAAGTAGTAATTTTCGCTATTTCCGATTTCTGAAAATTTATTAAGTACTAATAATATTCCGCACTATTATACATATTTTATTTGGCGTTCACTTGGTGTGCAATTCTTTTTTCTACGAGATTCTATTCTATTTTAAAAAGTTTAAGTAATTAAAAAATTGATTAAAAATATTGTCTATACCCCGCGTTGCCATACCCCGTAGTGTTATATAAGAATATTCAAGAAAGTTTAGGGGAGATCACTCCCGGTTTATTTATTTTATATTTTGTGTTTTTGCTACAATATGTAAATTATCATAAGCTTTCATATGCACTACAAAAAACAAAACAAAAAACAACTAAATTTTAATAAAGGTATTCAGTACATAATGTAGCGACCCACCTTGATAGTGGTTTTGTAAATAACAAACAGATCTACTACAGTAGTGATGTTATACAGTAGCTGACACATGCTGTTGCGTAAAAAATATATACATGAGCTGTAGTATGAAAGATCGGCAAACGTTCAGACTACTACCATGACTTATTTACCTTATTTAGCTAGTCAAATAAGTGTGCTCATAAGGCCTTTTAATATATTTGTACTAAACAAATTAAAAAGCAATTACTTCTCTTAATTATTTTTTTTAAAATACATACTAAAGAATGATAAAGTATAAAAAGGAAATGTATTTAAAATCAATAATATTAATACAAAAACATAAAAATAAACATAACACGAGAACCTTTTACACATACAAACCTTTCATGTTTCATATTCTTTTGACCGACTTGAGGTTAAGAGGTATTACGGCAGTATTACAATGAAAACATGGTTTTCAAAACAGACAAATGCACTCACACACGTGACATTTTGATGAAATTTATTTTAATTGAAAAATAAAAATATAGTCATTTTTTTCAAAACCCGATCTGGCCAGAAATGAGTATCTTATGATCGAATTATGTGTTTGTATATATATTAAATATATTAAACAATATTAAATTTAAAAAAAAAACATAAGACCGTCAATGTAAAAATGTTCAGATCAACTAAAATAATCCTATACACTATTAAAATTTTGCTGTGAGATATTTTGTCTGATATATTTTGTCTGAGATCATTTGTCCGTGGTATCATTTGTCCTGATATATTTTGTCCTGTTATATTTTGTCCGTGAGATAATTTGTCCTTGAGATAATTTGTCCTTGAGATCAGTTGCCGTTGAGATCATTTGTCCTGAGATCATTTGTCATGGAACCTTATATATATATATATATATATATATATATATATATATATATATATATATATATATATATAGTGAAAGGTAAACAATTATTTAAATATATAAATAGATAAAATTGTTACAACATATTTGTAAAAAGAGTCATTTAAAAATTAATTAAATGTATATTATAATACATAATATACAAGTAAAACAACGTTATAACAATGAAATAATGACTATTAGAAATACAATCTGTTTTTATGATTAGGGGTCATCCATAAATGACGTCACGCTTTTTTGACGATTTTACCTCCCCCCTCCTCCCCTCCGTCACACGTCGTCACAAAAAGCCAGAACCTCCCCCCTAAAATGACGTCACACCTCAACCTACAACACCAATCAAAATTGCAGTTGAGTTTTTTTAAAACATCGATATTTTTCTAAAATCTTGTCTAAACTATTACAATTTATTAAAACAGTTATCTAGAACGCGAAATAACGTCTAAAATTCGTTTTCTAACATTGCTTTTTTATAATGCAAAAGTGTGACGTCGCAACATCTGAACCCCCCCCCCTCCCCCTCATCACACATCGTCACAAAATTACGCCCCCCCCCTCCCCCCTGCGAGTGTGACGTCATTTATGGATGACCCCTTACACGAATAAAACTTTCAAGAATCCTGCAAAACATGACATAAATAATTTACAAAACAATATTCAATTGCTTAAAATATTAAAGTATCTTTATAAATTGGTCAGAAGAGGGCGCCGCAGGTTGCATTTTGATTCTCTTTTAACACGTATCACAGAGCGAACGTCCAAGAAAATCCTCAGATCCTAGCGAGTCTTGGCTGGCTGGTTACATAAGGCCGGGCGTGCCTACTCCATCAAAGGTTGCACCTTCACGCTTGATCAAAAGATAAAAAATAAAACTAGTTTTCACCCATGTGGAGAAATTAAAAATTCACCGAGGAACAAAACATGTTCAGACAAGGAAGAGAGTGTGTTTTTAATGTAGTCTTTCGTCGTCCGGGTTGTTTTTTTTTATCTCCTGACCTTGGTATTAGCAATAAATGTGATTTTTAATCACCTACCTGTAATTTTTAATCGCAATTCTTATGGTTTTTAACCCAATATTTGTGACTTTTAATCGCATACATGTTTCTAATCCCAATACCTATAATCCCAATCCCCATGGTTTCTATTCCCAATACCTGTTTTCTAATCCCAATCCCCCTACCTGTGATTTCAAACCCCCTACCTGTGATTTCAAATCCCCCTACCTGTGATTTCTAGCCTTCCCACGATAGATCCACTTGATGCTGACGAAGATGACAACACACAGAATGACAAGCAGGCCAAGAGAAACTGTCACGCCCACAATGACATTGGTTCTACTGTCTGAGCCTAGAGGAAACATAAGATATCTATTATTTGATTGATCTAGATTTAGACATAACCCTAGAGGGAAACATTAGATATCAATGATTTGTTTGATCTAGATTTAGACATAGAACTATTGGTTTTCTGAATTTGGATCAGTTCATAAAAAATCTTTGTTGACCAAATTGTATCATTGACCAGCTGATGTTGGAGATAAAGTATTTATAACTATCTAAAAACCTCACAAAGTGTCTGAGTAACATCTCTTACTTTAATATTTTGATTCAAACATTATTTACCATCCAGGGTGGTTTATGTAAGACGCTCGGACAGGAAAGAGGGGGGGGGGGGTGTTACATTAGAAAAAGTGGTCAAGGGTTAATTATTGAATTAATCCGTTCACCTATTTTTATAAATCACACATATTTATAATATGTAAAAAACGTAAAAGCAAATGCAGTTCTAAAAAATATTGTTCGAAAATTTTTGTTTTTATAGTTCTCAATAAAATGTATTTTTCGGTATTGTGGTGAATAATGCGAAGAGAAATGGTATAATATATATATTATATATATATATATATATTGATGTAATAATTTGTTTGAAATACAAACCTATTCGGAAACATAAAAATCGCCGACAGGACCATTGTCAAATATCGTTGTAGGGATTATATTCATGACAAGTTCGGCATTAGGATTAGGATTATGGTAAGAGCCGAGCGTAAGACAAAAATTAGCGTTTAGATATTGCATTCTATTCGACGAACCGTGCTTGAAAAAAAATGTTAACAATTCTATTTAGGCAGGCTATCTGTGTAATCAGATTCTCCACGCTCCAGCGTACAACTATACGGTCCTGACGTTATTCAATGAACCAACTAGAACCGCAGGTAGATCTTAAGTGGGTGGGGCTTCTAAGGGGGGGGGGTGTCACGTCGGATCAAATCTCACCTTTTGTATATACATTGAATGCTATTTAATAAGCACCTTGTATGTATTCATCAATTGTTATATATTTTTTATATTTCTACTGTCGTCTTTATAACTTAAAGATAAACAGAGGATTTTTTTTTACCTGGCATTGATTGGCATTGCTTTGTACCTTCTCTAACCCCATTGAAAATATACTAAACCAATATGGCAAGCCACCCATGTCACGTTGTGTTATGTAAAATGTGCATGATCACAACTACACGTTTTTTTTTTTATTTCCATCGATTGCATTGAGTATCAAAATATTTAATGAAGTAAGGATTGAGGCTCCTGATATCTGATATTATTTACAATTTATATTTCTTACTACAGTTATACATTTATAAATAAAACACAAATACAGAGAAAAGATATTACAAAAAATATTAATCAGCTTCTAGATTTTTACAAATACAAAGATTTGCAATACAATAAAAAAAAAGGTTGATCAAAATTAAAAAAAAAACCCACTAATTTTTTAGGTTTTGAACTTAAACTTTATTTACACACAATATTGTTATTAAACACAGAAGCCATTAACAATGTAATACATTTCAATTATACATAAGAAGACTGATTTTCAGTGAAAGTTTTTATTTGCATTTCAGTTGTGGTAAAAATAAAGTATCGTAGTAAGAAATTTTTTTTTTCCATTTTATGTCGTAGTATATGCCTCCGCCTTATATTTACAGGAAACGCCCTTTCATTCACCTTATAGTATACACCCATGTCTCTCTCCTTTTATAATATGCCTCCAGTCCCTCTGTTCATGACTTAAGCTCCAGTCCTCGCACTTGTATAAAGTCGATACAATCTCCATTCTTTAAAATTGTGTAAGCGCTAAACTAAGAACCGAATCTTTATTTTTAAAATCCATATTAGTTTACTTACCTTAAAGGTAAGGTTATAATCCTTCAAAATTTCAACGGTTTTAAATGGTGAATCGGTTGGTCACCCAACATATCAAAACATTGATCGCAAGTTTCAATCGTTTAAAACATATAATTACATGTTACAGTTAAAATCTGTTAATTTTGTAGTTTTAGTGTTATAGAACATAACTACCAGGTGCACTACTAAATCGTTGTACTATGGTATTTATATTCTAGCTTTTTGTGTTATTAGCTTTACCTAAAAGTGTTAGATACTATAAGCAAGTTAATAACTTGAAAAAAAAAGTTTTTATTATTGTTGTAAGCGTTAAGGCGTTAGTCTGCATACACGTAGAGGGTACCAATGTCAACAGACACGTTTTATGTGTGGGGATTCAGGGTGAGCAGTCTAGTGTGTACGATAAGATCGTGTTTAGCTGTTGATATGCTACAGACATACCTATACTTTGGGATGATGTGTAGTTGTTGATATGTTACACTTACCTATACTTTGGGATGATGTGGCTGATGTAATGTTCATTACTGGGTTGTTATTGGATGTTGGTGTTGATGTTGGTGATAATGTTGTGGATGTTTGGCCTGTTAATGCTCGTGTTGATGTTCCTGTTGGCGTTAATATTGTTGTTGATGTTTGGTCAGTTGAAACTAGTGTTGATGATGTTGTTGTTGTTGTTGTTTGGTCTGCTGATGTTGATGCCGGTGTTGATGTTGATGATGGTGTTGTTAATTGGTCTGTTGAAGCTTGTATTGATGTTGGAGTCGATGTTGACGTTAATGTTGTCGTGGATGTCTGGTCTGTGGATGTTTGTGTTGATGTCTCTGTGGATGTTTGTGTTGATGTCTCTGTGGATGTTTGTGTTGATGTCTCTGTGGATGTTTGTGTTGATGTCAGATCAGCAGATGTTGTTGAAGTCTTCAGCGTGACATTAGTTGCCTCCGTATCCACCCTGCAATGTCAACAGGCTATCAAAAACTTATAATAATTTACCACACTAATACACTACAATGCTATAACCACAAATGCAACACACAAATTAACTATAAACTGACCCGAATAATTTTTACCTAAATGCGTAGAGGCCTGGCGTGCCAACGTCCGTATCATTGACGATGCTCCACAAGGTCCACGAAAATGACTGGGGTAGCAGGAACCCTGCAGCACCCCCTCCCTTGTAGAAGCCAATCTGTAACGCACCCCCGGGGTTACTCAGTTGTTACAATCACCACAGGACGAATCTCATCAGTTACAATGTGTACATACTGAACACCCACCCCCAGAATCACTCAGTTGTTACAATCACAACAGGACGAATCTCATCAGTTGAGGGACAAATCTCATCAGTTACAATGTGTACATACTGAACACCCACCCCCAGAATCACTCAGTTGTTACAATCACAACAGGACGAATCTCATCAGTTGAGGGACAAATCTCATCAGTTACAATGTTTACATACTGAACACGCACCCCCGGGGTTACTCATTTGCTACAATCACAACAGGACGAATCTCATCAGTTGAGGGACAAATCTCATCAGTTACAATGTTTACATACTGAACACGCACCCCCGGGGTTACTCATTTGCTACAATCACAACAGGACGAATCTCATCAGTTGAGGGACAAATCTCATCAGTTACAATGTTTACATACTGAACACGCACCCCCGGGGTTACTCATTTGCTACAATCACAACAGGACGAATCTCATCAGTTGAGGGACAAATCTCATCATTTACAATGTTTACATACTGAACACGCACCCCCGGGGTTACTCATTTGCTACAATCACAACAGGACGAATCTCATCATTTGAGGGACAAATCTCATCATTTACAATGTTTACATACTGAACATGCACCCCGAGGATTACTCAATTGTTATATTCACCACGGGACAAATCTCATCAGTTGAGGGACAAATCTCATCATTTACAATGTTTACATACTGAACACGCACCCCAAGAGTTACTCAGTTGCAGTGGCGTAGCGAGGTCGGGTGTCACCCGGTGCGGCACTTAATGGTGTCACCTCCAGAGGCGTAGCGACCCTTCCCGGGACAAACTTTCAAATTTTTTATTTGCACCCCCACCTCAAACTTTCGATTTGCACCCCCCTTAAGTTTTTCTCTATATATTTTCCTTTTTTTTTTGCCTTTTGTCACCCCCGCCCCCCTAAATTGTGTCACCCGGCGCGTTCCGCACCCCCCGACCCCCCCCCCTCGCTATGCCTCTGCTCAGTTGCTACAATCACAACAGGACGAATCTAATCAGTTGAGGGACAAATCTCATCAATTACAATGTTTACATACTGAACACGCACCCCGAGGATTACTCAGTTGCTATAATAGGCTATAATAGGTAATAGACGGGGGGCTCCACCCCGAAAAGTTGCTCAAGTTTGAGATTAGGTGCGAGGTTTAGGGGTATGATTAAGACTTTATTTAGTACGAATGTCTAGTAACTACGTGTAGATCAAGGTGAAATGCGGTTAAAATGGCGATTCTGGATTAAAAAACTGTTTACATTGACATTTTTCATTTCGGGTTAAATTTGAAGTCGAGGTTCTGATTTTGTTTTGGTTTCGATTCAGAGAAAAAGAAAAACATTATATTATAATTATAATTATATTATTATTATATTACTATAATTATACGAGAAAAATGGCCCGTTGAGGAAGGATACACCGGGCGCTAGGTTGATAGTGCTGTCTCTTTTCTCTAAACTAAAACCAACCCACCCCCCCCACACACACCACCCCCCCCCACCCCCCACCCCACACCCACCCCACACACCAGCCCCCCCCCACCCCACCCACCGCCACCCACCCCCACCCCACCCCCACCCCCCAAAAAACATGTCTACCGTCCCATTCAACGAAATATAATTATATACTTTTTCCAGTGTCCGCCCCCTCCCCGAAAATTTTACCCCCGCCCCCGAAAATTTCAAGTACCCCCACCGCTCTCCGGGGAGGAAAAAGTCTAAATGAAACACTGGTGTCGCGCTTAGCCACTACGCGAAGAATTGCATTAAAGAAATTGCGAGAAAACCACTTTTTAGATTAGACACATTAATTAGGCGGTAATTTTATTATAGAGTATCGATGAGGAAACCACCGCCCCACCCACCCCCCCACTCACACCTCCCCCCCCCCCACTCCCCACCCCCCCACCCCCCCCCCCCCCCACTCCCAAAAAAACATGTCTACCGTCCCATTCAACGAAATATAATTATATACTTTTTCCAGTGTCCGCCCCCCCTCCCCGAAAATTCTAACCCCGCCCTCGAAAATTTCAATTACCCCCACCCCTCTCCGGGGAGGAAAAAGTCTGAAAGAAACACTGGTGTCGCGCTTAGCCACTACCCGAAGAATTGCATTAAAGAAATTGCAAGAAAACCACTTTTTAGATTAGACACATTAATTAGGCGGTAATTTTATTATAGAGTATCGATGAAGAATTTTCTTTTGAGTTGGGGAGGGGGGGGGCTCAGACGTTCTTACGCGGGGGGTGGGGCTTCGCCCCTACCCGAAGAATTGTATGCAAGAAACTCTTCACGCAAACCATTAAGATTAGACAACGTTTCCTTTTTATTCAATGTTAACGCGAAAATCAATGACGTCATATAACTGTGAGCACTCTCTGGGTTTGAGATTATTTTCTACTCTGTGCTAAATGTGTCGACGTCATACTTCGTTTTTCGAATTACTGTGCATGTTTTTAAATTGCTTGTCTTTTCTCTAGAGCGTTCTTGTCAGACAGATAGATAGATAGATAGATAGAGAGACAGCGAAACTATTATTATAGATTATTATTATAAAAATTATATTATTATATTATATATATATATACTAGCCGTGCCGTCGCGACCGAAACCTTCACTGGCCTTTATAAAAATGTATCTGTAAGGGATCGAGACTTATGTTTATTAAGTGGCAAATATCGGGCGCCCTTAACTCTTTAACTTACCGTAAACAACCACAATATCCACAACGACTAAAACTAATATAAACACAAACAGGAACACAAATACGAACATGAGCATGTAAAGTGGCAGACCTAGGAATATCAACATGAATAGGAACAGAAACATCAACCTTTTTTTATGTAGTTTTAATTTTTGTTTATCACCCATAACGTAAGTTTATTTTCTCAGCTGACAACCACTTAGCCCTATTACCTATATATAGCTTACCTGTAGCTTGAGAGGTTCTTCGTCGTGGAAGTCGGGATCAAGGTAGTACGTGAAGTCGGGTTCGTCGTACAGCCACTGTATATCCAGGTACTGAAACGTTGCTATGGTAACAGTTCCGTCCGTGGCGAGCACCATTTGAAATGTGTTGACCTGCAGCAGTTCAGGCGTTAAGTTTGTTAGGACACATGTTTGCACAATTACATTTTACGTTCGCAATATAGGACATTTTTTAAAGTACATATGATTGATCATATTTTTGACGTACACATTTTTAGATAATTACGAACGCATTATAGTACACCACCTTTGTACATTATACAACAATAACATTTTCCGTTAAACATTTATGTTTCACAAATAAATTACCTGACACATACACATGCTAATGCAATAAGTTTAGTGTATAAATTAGCAGGCGAGGTGGGGAGGTAAGGGAGTAGGGGTGTAGCTTTGTATGAGAACTATGATAAAATGCTAGCTGTCTACTGGTGCAGTGTGGGGGGGGGGGGGGGAAGGGGGGTTACATTTTTATATTTTATGTTCCATTATATCTTCACGATTCCTTTTCATTTATTCATATGATGAAAATGTTTTTTTCAAACGGGGGTGGGGTGGGATGCTTGGGCGTTTTAAAAATAATGTGAAGAGAGCTCATGAAAATTCCGATGGAGGAAGAACACTGATGAAACGTCAACTAACCCTGTAGTTGAAGAGAGGGGGTGGTTTCACTTCGAGTGTTTCACAAACAATATCTCTACTTCATGCCAATTAAAATTGGGGTGAGATGGATGCAATGGATATCTACCACGGGGAAGCACTGGTTCCTCCCTGGGGTTACTGCTACCTTCAGAGAGACACCTGCAACAAGCGGTTGTCTCTCACTTAACACCAACTGACCCTGTGCTTGTTATCCTCGACGTAGAGACAGCCCACTTTGTCCCAGGTGACCACTAGCGCGTAGGTCGGCAGGAAGTTGTCAGAGAACTGGGAGAATCTCCTGGCCAACGTTGCGATGTTCTCCAGCTGGGTTGCCTCTGTGGTCAGTCTGTCGAATGGTCAATAGGACTCAAGTTCTGGTAGGTAAATGGTCAATACGACTCAAGGTCTGGTAGGTCAATGGTCAATAGGACACAAGTTCTGGTAGGTCAATGGTCAATACGGCTCAAGTTCTGATAGGTAAATGGTCAATACGACTCAAGTTCTGATAGGTCAATGGTCAATACGACTCAAGTTCTGGTAGGTAACACTTCTGGTGGGTCTATAGTCTATGCAACACAAAGTTCTGGTAGGTCAGTGGTCTATGTAACACAAAGTTCTGGTAGGTCAATAATTTATGTAACACTATGGTCAGGTAGGTCAATAGTCATTAGTTCTGGTAGATCAATATTTTATGCAGCACTGAGATCTGGTATTTGAATAATCAATTCTACTTATTCTAAATTTTGTTATACCAATGGTCAAGTGAGCTCTACGTTTTTAGACGAATATAGTCAATAAAACCCCGCTTCGTTAGTCCATACAATAGGTTTTGATTGAAATAAAACAAATATTAAAACATTTATAATAACAAGCTTTTAAATGCTCTGAAATTAAAATAAACTTTTGTAGCTGATGAGATTCCTTACATAGTGTAGCGACCATTTTTTTTATTAAAGAAACCAAGTTTGTTTTATTTTCTTATTTTCAGTGCATTTCGATTCTTATACACTGGTTTTTATATTTGGTCTTCCCCGCCCACATTTTAGTTATTTGTTCTAAAAGAAATTGACACTTGCGTTAAAACCAGTAGTTTGTGATCTTAAAAAAAAAATCAGCTAACTGTCACTACTTTGTTCGTGGTCGACGCTAAGGCATGAAATCAGCCAAATGTGAAGAACAGTTCACTAGTGTAAACAAGCTGATAGGGTAATCGCTTGAGCTTTCTCACTAACTTTAGAGATTTTTATAAAATTACATTTTAATAGCTAATTATCTATTGAATTTGATTAATAGGTAAATATCCTTGCATTGTCATTGATGAAGAATTTATCTTGAAAGTTTGAACGAAATTGCTGGATTAGAAGTGGGCCAAAATTGACTTACAACATTTGCCAGAAACCCACAAACTGACATTGTGAACTGAGTAAAAGCGTGTAAAATGCTACTCAATTTGTTAGTAGGCGAAAACTAGAACGAAGTGTAGTCTTCTCAAATGCTCCTCCAGTCAAAGTATTCTAAAGCCAACACGTAATGACAATGACTTATCTGTAATTGTCGATTGTTTTCCTCAATAGTCTCTGGCTTACCTGTAATAAACGTTGCCTAATCCACTGGAAGCGGAGCTAGACATCAATGACAACCACGGGACAACTGCGGGGAATTCAGCGACTTTATCCTTCAAGGCGTATACATCTCGGATGGTACTGTCTCCAAGAGTCACAAAGCCATCTTCATAAATCTGTCATCAAATAGTCATATTCTTTCAACAGTTTTTTTTAAGTTCTTAAAATAATTAAAAAAAAAAAGAATTATATCAGCTTCTTAAAAATAAATTCTAATGTAATATTTTTTAAGTCCTTACATAATTTTAACTGTTCTAAAATATTTTCATTACCTTTTAAACCAGTTTATTAGTATTTATTAGTATTTAATTATTTTTTAAAAATGTATCCCATTTTTACTTTTTCGTATACGAAGTATAGAGAAAGTATTGTAATCATGCAAAAAAAAAATCGAGATTTTGCAAATCTCGACGTTTTACAAGCACATGTGAACTAGTACAAGCCAGTAACGTGATCTCAATATAAGCAAGCACATGTGAACTAGTACAAGTCAGTAACGTGATCTCAATATAAGCAAGCACATGTGAACTAGTACAAGCCAGTAACGTGATCTCAATATAAGCAAGCACATGTGAACTTAGTCAACTAACAAGTGGACCATAACGTCAACAGACACGCATCGTTTGAGGACACTTTTATCTGTGCGGCATCTACAGGGTAGATTGAATATATTATTTATGACGGGGAGCGGGAGGGGGTGGGAGTGGGGATAACGCGCTTTTATCAGAAATTTTCATTAAAAAAGGTAATCACGTTTTGAGTGATTTTAAGTAGGCTTAAACATACATTACCCCACATGCACACATATATGTGTATATTTATGTTATATTTTTTTTACAGTATAAATATTTTTTTATTACAAACAATGTTGTGGTTCAATAGTCACACATTTTCTTTACATCCAAGAAGAGTTGAAAAAAAAATCTATTAAAATCAACACAATCACATGATCCTAGAAAAATCTGAATGCAACGCAAGAGTGAGAACATGTTCTAAATGCAGAGAAGTTCAACAACGAACATTATGACGTTTCAAGCCCTCAACATTACATTTTTTTAAAACTCTGATAATTCTCTACACTTGATGTTACTGTTATTTTCATTTCCTTCTCTTAATGTAAAGATTTTCAACAGCGATATCAAAACTCTCCTCTCCGATGTTCGTCATCAAGGATGATGCATTCAAATAAACTCTGTTCTGAGTTTGGGCAATTGTTCTAGCTATATTCTGGGCAGCTCTGATCTTCCTAAGCTTGAGGTAACCAGGGTTCATGCTCATGGCTTCACCAATCAGCCTGGCAGCCTCAGCTTCTCCCTCAGCCTGTACTACCTTCTGTTGTTTCTCTTGAATGGCTCTCTCCACCAAAAACTGGGCTCTCTGTGCAACTTGTTGGGCAATCTGTTTTGATTCAACGGCTGATGAATACTAACTGCCAAAACTAAGCTCTGTGATAGAGACATCATCCTGAATGATGTGGAAATCTTTAGCTCTCTGAGTTAACTCACGCCTGATTAACAGTGAAACTTGTTGACGCTGAGTGATGAGTTGAGATGCATTAAATTTGGCCACAAAACTCTTCAAGACTTCATGACAAGTAGATGGTAACACACGCTCATCAAAGTCTGTGCCAAGTTGCCTGTAAATTTGAGGCAATGACAAGGCACTTGGTGTAGACAAGACTCTCAAAGAGCTGTTAACAATCTGTAAATCTTTGCTTCCAGTAGGGGAAGAGATTTTGTGAGGCCTTGACCAAATATCACAAATAGTGGGATATTGAAACCATGGCACGCTGAAATGTAATCCTTCTACATATACACCAGGTTTAATGCCAGACAACATGGTAAAGATTATAGCCATGTATCCACCATCAACAGTGTTAAAAGATTGTGTTAGGCCGTAAATCTCTCCAGCAAAAGCCAATATGCCAACCCCAAAGCTTTTAGGCCCAGCTATCTTCAATCGTCCGGCGACTTCCGCAGCCTTTTTAGGATCCATTATGTTATATATAAAGATGAAATGGACTATGCAAATCTGTATGTTTGTGGATGCACTGCATAAAGTAAAAAACCTCGACTTGATCGACATTGTGTATTATTTTTAAAGTATTAATTTTTTTAATGAAAATCTGAATTGATAATTTTAAAAACTCAATATTGATTATTTTAAAATGAAATTTTTATTTTACAACTTTTTATTTCTTGACAAAATGTGCTAAAACAAAATTAAACTAAATGTATAACCCTTTACAAAATTAAAAATTTTGGTTGAAAAAAGTCTAAAAATTATGTCTCTTTTTATTAATTACTTCCCTTGATATATTGACTTACAAAAAATAATTTAAAAGTCTATTTTGATGTTGGAAAAAGACCAACAATTATCTCATTATCATGATTTGTTAAAGTGTAATGTGGTAGGTAAAACACAGGTATTTTAATTACTACTTTTTTTTTAAATTTTGTACACAGAATGTACTGTTTGCTAATTATTATTTTTGAACAATAACAGTTTTGACGTTCCTAAATGTCCTCTATTTTTCCGTTTATGTTTACATTTGCGTTATTTATTGCTTTTATGTTTGTGTTTGTGTTTGCGTTTGTATATGTGTTTGTTTTTCCGTTTCTGCTTGCAATTGGTTTTATGTTTGCGTGCGTGTTTGAGTTAATATTTGCGTCTGTGATACGCTTGCGTTTTGTTTTTTTTTCTTTGTGGTTGGTTGTGGTTAGAGTTAGGTTTAGGGTTATGTGTTATTTTCTTAAACGTCCATATTTGCATATAGACATTTAATTTGAATGTAATATATTTACTAAATCCGGGTAATGCCGGATATGTGTTGCTTAATTTAACAAACTCACAAGTTACGGTCCTTTACAGACAGGTTTTTTCACAGAGGTTAGTGTAGGGCTGGTGGGGACAGCTAGTTACTACTAAATGTGGTTTATTGGCAACCGGTAGATCTAACTACATGTGATATATGTCTAACCACTCAATACACATGTGATATAGCTAACGACTCATACAACATACTTCATACATCTAACCACACTTATGACATTTCTAAACACTCACCAATAACTCACTAATAACTGTGATTTACATAACCACTCACCTGAAACGTGGAATAACTGCTCCCATAGAATGGCATCGAGTTAGGAAAACTCTGCACATTAAAATACTCCCCTGACGCCAGTGCAGTGTCCCCGGCATCGGCGCCGTACGGCTGAACTGAACATATCACGTGACACAGGCACAAGAAAACGAAACCACTTGCTAACATCCTCTTGTAATCCTTACTGAGATACGCGCGCATTCTCTCCATCTTTAAGTCTTAGAAGTATTTCACCTAAGAATGCAGAAGTAACCTAGTAATTTGTTTTCACAGAATCAGTTTCTAAGTTTGGCGGGGGGGGGGGGGGGGGGGGGGAGAGATAGGCGAATCTGTGACCATCGTATATATATATATATATATATATATATATATATATATAGATGCCCAATGGTTTTAGTCATGAAACTCTATTGTAAATTTTTAAAATTTAAGGTACTGTAAAAAAAAAAGAATGAATTGATAAAGTGCAATATGGTAGGTAAAACATCGATATTTTAAATACTGCCTTTTATTTATTTTATACACTAACGTACTGTTTACTAATTATTATTCTATCTTTTGGTTTGCGGACAAGCTGGGGTTTTTATTGTCATTCACTGAATCAAGCGCGTCCGCCGGCGTTTGGACAAGGTGTAATTTTGGCGCCACGGGCTAAACTGTGAGCACTATGCGTTTCTGTTTGCATTTAAGTTGTGTTTATGTTATGAGTGTTGTATTTGTTTTTTCGTTTGTGTTTTTGTGTTTGGTTTTGTGTTTTGCATTGTGTATGTGTTGAGTACTATTAAAGATACATAAATGAAATTTCACATGTAAGTCGAAGATCTAATTATATGCCTTCTGTCAAATTTTGAGTAATTTCCGTTGACCGGAAGTAGTAATTTTCGCTATTTCCGATTTCTCTGAAAACGAATGTGAATTTATAAAGTACTAATAATATTCCGCACTATTATGTACATTTTATTTGGTGTTCTCTTGGTATGCAACTCTTTTTTCTACGAGATTTTATTCTATTTTAAAAAGTTTATTTAAAATGGATTAAAAATCATGTCTATATCCCGAGTTGCCATCCCCCGAAGTGTTATATAAGAATATTCGAGAAAGTTTAGGGGAGATCACTCCCGGTTTATTTTTATTTTTTTAAATTATTTTTTAAATTTTAAAATGCTTTTATTTGAAATTTAAAATAAATATATGATAATTATCATATTTTACATAATTTCACACTTTAAATGAAACCAAAGGATTTTACAAATGTACATAATGAATATTTACATAGTGTCATATATGTGGTTATACAAAATTGAAATGGATAAACGTGTAGAGGGGTGGAAGCAGGCGTTTTTACTGAAATAACCATATAAACAGAAAGTACAGACAGATCAGTTTTTAACATATCGAGATCCGAACATACCTTTCTACGCGGCACCAAATCGCCTCGCCTTCTATGCATCGCGTCAGACGTGTAAAAACAGTAATAGGGGTCAAGGTAAAATAAAAGTTTTGGAATGCGGGTAGGGAGTGGGAAAAGATTTGATAATAAGGGAGGGGTGGGGGGAGAGACTTTGGGGCAGTAAAGCTAGTCGTGAATGGTGGGACGAACATGCTTTCGTTTTTTGAATGAAGTTAATTTTATACGGGTGACGAGGTGGTGGTGGTGGTGGAGAGAGACTTTGGGGTTATAAAGCGTGTCCTGTGTGAAGGGACAACATGATTTCGTTCGTTGAAAGAATGTTAGTTTTAAATTTAAACGTGTGACAGGGAAGGGGGATTACAAGTTGCTGTGTAATCGATTATTTAAAACTGGTAGAGCGGGAGGGGGTAAGGGTTGTGTGTCAGAGTCAGTGAACTGTGTCGTGGCTATGTTTACCTTGCAGTAGGTGTGAAGCGGTCGAAAAAGCGTTTGGGTAATTTTGTTATTTTACGAGTTTGTCTTTGTTATGAGGTGTGTGGATACAGTTATTAAAGGTCAAAAGCTGGTTCACAGTGGGGAGAAAATTTTGCGGCTAAGTTTACAATTTTGTACATATAAAAATCAATGTGCTGTTTGAGCCATTTTTTTCATAATGTACATTGTAAACAAAATTGTGATACCTCATAGATAAAAAAAACAAATAGGGAGTGATCTCCCCTAAACTTTCTCGAATATTCTCATATAACACTACGGGGGATGGCAACTCGGGATATAGACAATATTTTTAATCCATTTTTAATTACTTAAGCTTTTTTATAATAGAACTAGCCATCGGTACCTGTTTCACGTGAATTATAGGACTATTTATTTTAAAATGTTGTACTTGTTTGAGAAAAATAATTTATGAAATAGTTATTGGTCAAAACGCAATGTGCTTTACTACACGCTGAACGATATTAGTGACAAAGCAAAGAAATAACTAATTAGCTAAAAATCCGACACATTTAACATAGCACAGGCACACACTGATTAAGTGACTTAAATCTGGCTTTTCATTGGTCATAATGTTGTTTTTAAGTAATGTGTATTAGTTTGACCGCTAAAATTGTATATATTTCATAGCGTACGTCTTGATGAGCAGATCTATAGATCTAGATCTAAATCAGATTTGAATGAAGTAGTTCCTTTCTTTATAGTCTAAAATCGGAAGATTCACACATAAAAATAAATAAAAAATTAAGCTTGACATAGTGTGTCTCGATTCCGTACCACCTGCGTGGTATTAAGTACACTATCATCTCAGCTATTTAGGCACCTTAAAAAACATGGAGAATGAAAGAAGTATTTAAAAAACTTAACTTACGCGAGTATGCCTATTCTTTCAAATTAATTTGTATCCCAAATTAGCCAGTTCCATAGCTAAACAAACAAAGATTTCTAAAATAATTAAGGCCTGAAATAGTTTAATATAGACATTAATTTTGTAATAGATTCTAGAGTGGATAGAGTCTAAATCTAGATCTTAGCGACTTAGCGTCTACGTCTAGTTTTTGCGTAGATTTAGATCTAGTCTATATTTAGAATCTCTAGATCTAGAATCCAAATAGATAAAAAAAATTTTATACGTTTTGGCCGAAAAATTGTATTGTATACATTTCATAGCGTACGTAGATCTAAATCAAATTTTAATGAAATAGTTCGTTTCTTTTTATTCTAAACTCGGCAGATTACGTCATTAGTTAATGTATAAACATTAGTAACGTCATTATTTCATGGGTTCTTTTTCACAACTATAAACACTTTTCCTCTTGCATAATTAAAACTGTTTTTCTACATTCGAATATGACTTTAATTTTTATTTTTCTTCTTTAAATAAAATATTGGTTATACATTTAAAACATCTACCATATTATTTTCAACATAAGTCCGTATCAAATTCTCTATATATCGCTGAAGATTCTCATGTGATACCCTGCGAAAATATTTTGCGGACAGAGAGAGAGAGAGAGAGAGAGAGATAGAGAGAGAAGTGAGCACATGGTCTTTTATATATTAGAATAGATTCTCGTAGAAAAAGGAATTGCACACCAAGTGAACGCCAAATAAAATGTACATAATAGAGCGGAATATTATTAGTACTTTATTAATTCACATGCGTTTTTTTTTAGAAATCGGAAATAGCCTAAATTACTACTTCCGGTCAACGGAAATTACTCAAAATTTGATAGAAGGCAGAGAAATATATAATACTAACATATGACATTTTATCAAACTAGTAACGATGCTCAAGTTATCGTATTTACAGGCACACATACATACACACACATACACATACACAGAGAGAGAGAGAGAGACATACGAACAAGATTGCAAAATTATGTTTTTCCGACTCAGGGAGGTGTAAAACGTCGAGATTTGTAAAAATCTCGTTTTTGTTTTTGCACGATTACTTGACTTTCAATATGTAGCCTATATACGAAAAAGTAATAGTAATAAATCGTTTGTAGGCTGTACAAATAATTGAGAGGGAAAAAAAGACAACACATTACTGTAATAAATTGATAGCAACAGTTTTATGGCATTACATCTCAAATTTACAAAAGCCGTGTTGAGTTGGAGTTAATTATTTAATACGAGCCGACCCGCGGCGTATTATACGCCGCTATTTAGTTGTTTTATTTTTAACTTTTCAGTAATTCATAATTTGTGAATTCGACAGTACCAATGCTGCCACTGAAAATATTTGCTTTAAAACACTATCCACCCCCCCTTTTTCCCCCTACCCTATTACCCCCCCCCCCCCCCCCCCCCCGTGAAAGCAGCCTCCTCTTAGTTACCTCCTCTAAGTTTAAAATCATTTCAAACTAAATTATCTGCCCCTAATAGCCGTCACTAAACCCGGATTGTAAACATTTAGAGTGAACCATCGCTCACCAGACCATGTGGGGGTGGGGGTGGTAGTGATAGAGAGGAAGAGAGCGGGACTGCAAGGCGCGCTTGCAACTTGTTTTCTAAAGTCTAACAGAAGAGAATTATATATATAGATACTAGCCGTCCCGGCCAGGCCCTGCACTGGCCTCTGTGTAAAACCTATCTGTAAAGGACCATCACTTGTGTGTTTAGTAGCCTATATACCTGGCATTGCCCAGGTTTAGGAAATATATTAAAAAAGACCATAGTAAACTTTCTTATCCATAGTCTATCGCACTGTTCAAAACAAAATGATGCACCATAGCGCTTACAGGGCGCCAAATCGAACCCTGCCGGGGCGCCGGCGGACGCGCCTGATTCAATTTAGTGAAAGACTATAACACATTATACTTGTCCTCAAACGGAAGGATATAATTAAACATAAAGGAAACTTAGGAGCAGGTTTCTAAACTGTTATTGATTAATAATAATAATAAGTATACAGTACGTTCAGTGTATAAAATAAATAAAATGCAGTATTTAAAATACCTACCACATGGCACTTGATCAGTCCACTCTAATCATGTTATTATTTTTCCCCAACACCAAAACAAAGTAATAAAAAGTAAATAACACCTTCAATATTAATTTTTGTAATTATTAATTTAGACAATGAGCACTTTAGATATACACCATTATGGCGATGAAGTCTAATTGTTTTACTATATTTCTTTCTACTCACAGGTCCGCTGTCTGCTGTCTGCTTTCACATACAGAAATAATCTGTATATATTAGATTACATTAATACTAAAAAACAATTTGAAGCTAGTGGTGAGGTGGATGAGGTCATGGGGGCATAGGTTGGATGAGGTCATGGGGGCATAGGTTG